TGCCTGGCCTGGCTTTTTAAGTGAATTAAAATGTTTTGGTAGGGTATTTTTTATTTTTTTTTTACAACCCAGCTGTCATCACAACCTCAACAACTTTATCCGTGGCAGGCTTTATTTCTTCAAGTTTAATAAATGGGTGTGCCCAAGTCTGTTTTTTGTAGTCATTGCACTTTTGTATTTAATTTACTATTTAATTCAATTAAATTAAAAGGAAAAACTCAGCTGATGAAGGATGAACATTATGTGCTGCACCGTACATTCACCTATTTAATGTTTATGATGTTTATGTATCTGTTAGGGAGAGCTCACCCTAACATTGTTTTCAAACATGCCTTTACATCAAGCATCTTTGCTGGCAAATGTAATTTAGAAATTTAAATTATTATTGAGGACCAGGACAAAGTTATTCCAAGAACCTCAAATGGTCCTCCGGGCCACACTTTGGACATCCCTGTTTTAAAACCTTCACACAATAGCTACATTTATAATTACATTAAATTGCATACAAGAAATCCTATTTACCAAGTCGGTGATGTCTGGATTTTATGTAGGGGTGACAGAGTAAAGAGGGATGATTACAAATTCATGCCACACTTTCTAGATTTGCAGGTTGAAAAAAGTAAACAACTTTGTGTATCATTTTCCGCCCACTTAACATTTATGTCCTCCTTTTTATTGGTTTTTCTCATAAAATTAAAGTTTGGAACGTGACAAATGTTACAATTTTAGCACATAAATAGCCTCACAAATCACAGCGAGTAATGTCCTAGGGACATAAAATCACATCAAACGCATTCCTGCTTGATGCAGTGAACTGCCTAACGACGTTTTTTTTTTTTTTCTGTCATGCTAAATAAAGTCCGGGAACCTCCCAAACCATCAGAAGATCTACGGTTGTTTGCACAGATCAGAATATTCCGATTTAAATGGGTCACTTTTTCCTGAAGGTATTTAAAAAATTCAGTCAGTTTAAGACAAGGCAGAGAATCTTGTTCACTAAATGAGAGGCAGCGTGAACAGAACCATGCATTACCATGCACATTGCCTTCACATGCAGAAACAACAATGTGTCACTTTTAATGACAGTCTATAGGGGGGCAGTCTCTATGGATCTTCTCACTTTATCTTTGTTTTTTTAAGACACTGGTCATGTCTATTCTGCACTCCATCCGCATGAAGTGATATTGAGCCTTTAAAAATATGCTGATTTTACAAATAATGACAAGTAAAAAGTCTGAAGTCGGTTTTTACATCCCACAATGAAGCATTTAGTCCTGCTGGAAGTGAACGTGTGTTTTGTTTTGACAGAAAACGGCAGCAAGATTTAATCTCACCTGTAATGTTGGGCTGAATCTAACTGGAGGGCATGCAAAACGAGCAGGTCTTTATGTACGCCAGGTTTAGGCCTCAACTGTGCGTGTGGCTGCTGTTTAATATTTAACAGCAGTGGTCAGGTTTGCCCCTTCATCAAACTGTCTCTGACAAGTCTCCGTGCCTCACTGGACATTTTCATCCAGGATTATTTCGACTGCTGTAATGAGCATAAGCAGGCACGTCTATTAGCAGATCTTGATGATTTTCAGATGAAAGGATCTGAGAGAAATATTAAAATCCTCTTATCTGGTTCTGCTGCAAATGCATCAGTGTAGTTCATCAAATTGTTTCGCTTTTTGTGCGTTTTGTTACTTGACATTTTTCACTGTAGATTTTTTTATAAAAATAATCTCAAAAGAACCTGAAATGACAGAGTGGAAACATGTCTGATGCCATTTTTATGAATATATTAAAAATGTATTATCTAAACATAACTATGACTGAAATGATTAGTCATTATTATTGAAATAATTGTCAGCTAAGTAAGTTGTGGATTAATCATTAACTGGAATATACAGACTCAAAAAAAGCCAATTTGTCTAAAAACAACAACAATGTATTCAGAACAATAATTAAGCCGAAGCTGTACAAAACGTATATACATTTAGCATTTATGATGAAAACATTTTTGTCCGTAAATATTTTTCACCACAAAACTCCTCAAGTGTCATCGTTTTAGCTTTATCCACTTCAAATTCACTAAAGGAATGCTATTTTGTTGCATGTTAGGCAATAAAATGTTTATTCTTGTAGCATTTTTTGCATCTTTTAGTGCATTTATAACATTGTCTTTAAAAACTTAAGAGATTAAATTAAAAAATGGGATGTGCCAAATTTTTCTATTCGATTTATCGTCCAAATAACTAGTAGAATAATCCGTTACAAAATAATAGTTTGTTGCAGACTTGAACAAAACGGGCACAAAATTAACAGTAAACTCTATGAATACTTTCCAGTTACATTAATGTCAAATGTATTCTTTAGTTTTAAATTTGCATTTTTTTAAATCAAAAAATGTATTTATCAAATCTAATAGGAGTCAAAGACCTAAATCTAAAGATGTTTTCAACCAGTGTGATGCGTCTTTCCCATGCGTTTGATTTAATTAAAATACCCAGATGATGTGATCTGCATTACGTCACCCGGGCATTTTTTGTTGGGTGGAACAAAACTCAACAGACCGGGCGAAGGCCATGATAGCCTGGCCTTTTTGGATGCAGCCAGAACAGAACATAAATGAAGGCCACATTATGACAGGTTGTTGAAGACATTCGCTGTCATATTCTGGTGATGACGGCTCCTTTTTTTTTTTTTTGATCTCATTGAAGACCGACTAAAGCATGACATTTAGTAAAGCTAGGGGGAAAGGAGGGTGATGTACAGCACCAGATCTGCTCATTTGTGTGTGGGAACATTGTGCATAACAGCTGTCCTGCATTATTTTTTATGAATCTCATCTGCTTTTATTGCCATTTTCTCTCAAGAATTTATACATGTGCTCTGTTGTATTTTCTGCTCTGTTTTCTTGTTTTACTGCGATGTAAATCACTTAATTGAATATTTTGTTCTCCAGGTAACAACTGGCAGTTTGCATTCGGTGTCAAGTTTTACCCTCCTGACCCATCACAGCTCACTGAGGACATCACAAGGTACACACACACACGCACACACAGACTCTCAGCTTCCACAATTACTAACACCATTTGGTAAAAATGCAAACAAAAGCCTGAAAATAAACTGTTGTGAAGACATGGTGATCACAACATGACTTTTTTTTTTGTCAGTGTTGCTATAGTGAATGAAAAATGAACACTTTGAACAAGGCGAGCTAACAAAAACAATAAACTAGAAATCATCTAAATGAGTGGACGAGGACAGCATGGCCTTGTTCAAACCTACTGAACCAGGCAGAAATATATCTGAGCTGTCTTTCTGGTTTCTCTCTTGCATGGTTACTGAATTGTAACTATGCAAGAGAAATAATCTTACAGGGTAGCTGGCTTGTGGAAACACTGTGTTTCCAAATAATCCCCTTTCAACTTAACGTCCAGCCATCGTGCCGACCAATCCCACCTACTAGAAGACCCAGAGTGATACTTCATGTATTCATTGGGTGACTTTCTTCTTGCCATCAAAAAAAAAATATAAAACTTCCATCACAATATCTACTTGTGTTTCAGTGGTGTTTTTGTTCTCCGCCAGATGTCTTTTTTTTGTGATAAAGTATCCATTACATTCTGCTGCTTTGGCCTGCTGTTTTATGTTAGGCTCTTTGTTGTTCAGATCTGCTGAAAACAACGACCCACTCTGGCTGAAAATTTGAGTCATAGAAAGTCAGTGAAAGTGAAGCAGACCCATTGAAGACTGGGACTGGCCCTAATGCCAAAACAATATGCTCTGAAGCCACACAACGCTTCTTAGAGTAGCAGGGAAATGCTCAGCTAAGTTGAAACTCGATGCTGGACTTCATCTCACATGTAATAGTTTTTCCTTCTGATTAAACTTGGTGTGGATTCGTGTAACGTATTGATTGTCTTATTTTTTAAATGTAAAATAAAGTTATTAAAACTTCTGGATATTTTTTTTTGTTAAATTAGTGTTTTGTGTATGTCAGACATTTCAGAACATTTTGTTTTGCTTTGGCTTTTATTGTCTGTGCTGTAGAATGTGGAAAACTACCACAAAAATATTAAAACCTTACAAAATGTCATAGGGAATTGAGACCATCTTTTTTGAGTTGATCTGTTTTGTTTTCATTTCCAGTGTGGTAGTGGAAAAATGTGAAAACGTACCTTGAAAGTGCTTGATGGGTTCTTGAATTTTGCTGTGGGGAAACTGAGGAATCCCTGAACCATCTACAAAAATTGATTTATTTCTAAATTGAGCAGAAGAAATCTTTATGAAACATGGAGGAACCTCTTGAAGAATCAGTTAAAGGCGTCCTGTTGTTCAGCTACAAGAATGGAAAGACACCTGCCCTACTCAGATAACTTTAACAAAGGCATTTAATCCATACCCATTTCCTGTTTTGAATCTTTTTTTCTTCTCGCCTTATCGTTTTTAGGTACCTTTTGTGTCTGCAGCTGAGGGAGGATGTTGCTTCTGGACGGCTGCCTTGCTCATTCGTCACTCACGCTCTGCTGGGGTCATACACATTGCAGGTACAGCAAAAAATATCCTGTCTATTTTGCTGTCTTGTGTTAGTGAGGTAACGTATGTTATAATCATGTTGATATATTCAAGCTCGGCACCTTCCCAAAAATAAATTTCTGTTTTGAATAATTTACAGGCCGAATTAGGCGACCATGAACCCGACCAACCTCGCCCTTTGGACTTTATCAGTCAGTTGACGTTTGCGCCCAATCAGAACAAAGAGATGGAGGAGAAGATTCTTGAACTCCACAAATCCCACAGGTCAGAGAGGAAAATGAGTTTGACTCATAGTTTGATAGTTCAGCTATTATCGAGGGAGTCTGACTGGATTATATTTATATGCACGATTTCTCATGATATTTTGTTTAATTTTAGCCATTCTTTCGTTTTTAGGGGAATGACACCAGCACAGGCGGACCTCCAGTTTCTAGAAAATGCCAAGAAGCTCTCCATGTATGGAGTGGACCTGCACCATGCCAAGGTATAAATAAATGAAGGCCTCCCCTCTTCTCCTCTTCCTCTCCATTGTTGTTGACATCTGGGGATTAGCCCAGCTCCTTTGATGCTGGTCGAGCCATGCCGGTGTGCATGCATGTTTGTATCTGTGTGTGTCAGCTGTGCAAACACTCGGACAGGCCATTTCCATGGGAACAGTCACTCTCCCTCGCTGGGATAGCAGATCATCAGCCGACTGGGTGCATGTTTCCTGGTGTGGATGTGTGTCACAGCATTTTCTGGGGTTTTAGGGGGAAAAACCAGCAAATACACATGAGAATAAGAGAGTCTGGAAATAGGAAGCTGGGAGGCATAGTGGAGAGTGAAGACAAAACATGGTTCAACTGAGGATGAGGGCAGTCCAATTAGATTTAGAGAGAGGCAAGTTCCCTTTAAGGACGTGCTCCACTTCTGTCCAACAGAGAGTGGAAAGAATGGTGCAGCGGAGCGCTTTAATTGCGGACAGTGTTTTTCTTTTCATCGCACACAATTGTTAATTATCCTGGAAATTCAAAGGGATGATCTTCTTGATCTTTTATGTAACATGTCTGCAGGTTTTATCACTCCACAGCCTGGAAAACAGGTGACCTAAAATCCATGTTTAAACTCTAGAAAGAGCAACGCTAAGTTTTGTGCCTGATGATACGGAGACTTCGGCGCTTGCTTTGCAAAAATAAAGCAAAGTGTTATGGAACTGGATCAGAGATTGATTTGTTTGATCGTTACATGACAGATCATAAGCGGTGCCTGTTGGGTTTGGGACGTAATATAGCTTTGAAATGCTTCAGTGCTATTGGTGCAAATTCCTTTCAAAACGTTGCAGTATTTTCTGAAGCCACTTGTCTTTAAAACTGTTTAAAACTGAACTTAAATGTACTGGCGAAACATGCAGATTGCAGTATATTCTACATCAAGGGCCATCTGCAACACTGTTATTAAGCATAACACTAGTGTGGTTTTGAGTGATAAATGGTACAATTTGTGATGTGTTGGCACTAATGAGTTAGAATAAAATTCGGCATTATTTAATTCATGTTACTTCACGTTTTTACTTGCTGTACTTATTCATCTTTAAGTTTGGACTAGGCATATGCTGGTGAGCCTCAAGGTTAAACAAGGTTATGGTTCAAAAACATTCACCACTGTACCAGCACTGTGGGTTAAAGTCCTTTTAATGAGATGCCAGGGCAAGTGTTGGAGTGAGACTGGCTTTCTTTGGCTAGACTGAGAAGGATAGAGCAGCACTCTCTGTCCCAATGTAACTGTTTGCTAGAATTTGATGAGAACATCATTTAAAATGACTTTATGACGAATGACATTGACCAACCCTTGACTTAATCGCCTCCCAACCATAGAAAAGCAGGTGCCTTCATGGCTTATTTTTATTAATCACTCAGACAATTATCCATGTTCTTGAGGTTGGTAACAGTTCTGTGTCAGAAATCGACCAAACAACTAAAGTCTATTAGTCCTTACATCACAAGAACTAAGATCGATGGCTGGCTTTTAACACAGCACATCCATTTGATGTGTGACATGTGGCTAAGCCCTAGTAAAACTGTCCATTATCAGCAAATTGCACTCTCCTTTTGTGCAACTGATTGTTCTCTATTAATTCATTGCTGTAATCAATTCACCTTTACTCTGACCAAACGGCCTTGAATTTAAAAACTCTGCTGGTGGGTTAGTCTGGAGGCTAACTGTGTTCTAATGGTGTGTGTGTGCGTGCGCGCATGTGTAATAATTGAGTTTCTGCAGACCCTAAACCGACTACTTTAAAAATCAATCGATGAACAGCATGATCTGGTTTGTTTGTACTGCAAGCACATCAAACCAGAATACATAATCTCCTCATCGAGGCATTTTCTATATTCTACTTTTCTGTCTGACAGGATTCAGAAGGAGTGGACATCATGCTGGGTGTGTGCGCCAACGGACTCTTGGTGTACAAAGACAGGCTTCGGATAAATCGATTCGCTTGGCCCAAAATACTCAAGATATCGTACAAGAGGAACAACTTCTACATCAAGATCAGACCAGGAGAGGTTTGTAATAAAGACACACACACTGATGGATTGATGAATGAATGTAAAGTAATTTAAGGTTGTTGGAATAACTTTTGTTTAACTTCTGACATATAAGACCAGACTTTCTCTGCTACGTGTAGATCTGTATATGGAATAAATGTAACGTAAGAGAGAAAAGTTTGTATAAAAAAATTAAAGGACAAATATTGAAAACGGTTCTTCGGTTAGACGACTTCAGGTGTGGAACAATTTTTGTGAGGAGTTTCTACACAAATAATTAGAAATAATTTGCTTAACAAATCCAATAAGACTTTTTTATGATTGTTTATTTTCTTTAATGAGTTTGTCCACAGAATCAGTTGGAGTCCTTAGATACACGTTTCTGAAAAATATGCAGGAAAGATTTGTTTTGATTTTGATAAATAAAGCTATAATAAGCTTCCACTTACACGTTCTTGAAATGAATTGTCAGGAATTTAGATTTTATTCTGTATTAGTTTTGTCTTGATGTTTTTTTTTTTCCTTTACTGAATATTTTTTTTCTACATTGTGTGTGTTTTATTCTCTATGGAAAGGTTAAAATGACTGAAATAAATAAAATATAAATTGAAAATCAAAATAAAACGTGTTTCTGCCATTTTGTTCCTTTGCCAGACGGAGCAGTTTGAGAGCACCGTGGGATTCAAGCTCCAGAATCATCGATCTGCTAAAAAGCTGTGGAAGGTCTGCGTAGAAAACCATAGCTTCTTCAGGTAAAAGACAAATATGCATTGACAGTGAAACGCATGTGCAGGAACATTAACTAACAATGTAGCGTTTTAGCAACTTCATGTGGCTCAAGACAAACCTGCATGTTCATTTGTTCTATAGGATGCTGCTTTATGTATAAAATATACTGATACATAATCACAACATAGACAGAAAATCTATGAGAACACAAAATTGAATGTGTTCTCTATGAAATAAGCTTCGGTATCCAGTCTGACAACAAGGAGTCATTTCTCTCAATCACACGCACCTGTAAAAGTAACTACAAAATGTTTTTTCAAAAGAGACCACTGATCGCGCTCCGTTTCTCCCTCTGCCTCCAGGTTAAACGCGCCGGAGCCTCCTACCAAGGCCCGCTTTCTGACGCTGGGATCCAAGTTCCGCTACAGCGGGCGAACGCAGGCCCAGACCCGGCTGGCCAGTTCCCTCATAGACCGACCCGCTCCCAGCTTCGAACGCACCTCCTCGAAACGCATCAGCCGCAGTCTGGACGGAGGTAACACTAGTGGTATCTGTATGTGAGAATCGCGCACCTTTTTAAAGAACTTCTCAACTGAAGGAAATGTGCATCAAAAGAGGAATGTCAAGCATGAAGCATAGTTAGAATTTCATAAGTTTGTGTCTGAATATCTTTTTCAAAATGGGTCTGAAATATTCTATGTCAGAGCAGATACAGGAAATAGTTGGAGCATCTGTTTCCTGTCTCACAGAGAGAGACAGCGAGGGAAAGGGAAAGAAGAAAATAAAGAATGCTCTGTTTATTGAAAAGAACCAAATTCTCAGCATGTAAAGTAACGTCACACGTGACTCTGGCTTCTGGGCAGTAAGCAAGTGTGAAGTGACCCTGCCTTATATTAGAGCTATTTTCATTTTTGTAGAATCACAATCATTTTATTGTCTTTGAAAACAGAACGCACCGTTTATCCTGTGGTTTCCCATATTTGGTTTACAGATTCCACTTTTTGCAGCTGCTTGCCTCCGTTTCCTGTCTGTTGCATTGTTCACTTACCTTACAGCCACCCCTACTGGATAGATTGTTTTACTGCAGTTCATTGTTCCTGCTCATTGGAACTTTAAATTAAGCCATCAGATAACCCAGTGGTCCCCAAGCACCAGGACGCGGACCTGTACCGGTCCGTGGAACAATTGGTACCAGGCTACGCAAGAAAAAATACCTCGGTCATAAAAAGGTTGGGGACCACTGAGATAACCAACAGATTTTTATTGTGTGGTTTTGCCTCTTCAGCACCGGTGATCAGCATAACTGAGGCTGGAAGTGAGACAGCGGAGAACGGGCGGCATCACCGTCTAGAGCTTCACTCCGACTCCAAGGTGTGTATTCACCAAAATCTCATCGAAAGGGAAATATTAAAGCAGAAAAGATCTGCCTGTGTTTTTAGACGACTTTAATACTGACTTTTTTATTATTTCTGGGAGTGCAACGGTAACTACATTATTGCTCAAAGAACAGAAATCAGTTGCAAGGTGACACTTTCTTTGTTGGGCACTGAAAAAAGCATTATTTTGTGTTTTTTTTTTTTGTCAACTTCTTTATTTTGACTTTCTGATTACTACATCGAAAAGCATCAACTGCCTCAGAGAGGACTTGAACAGAACCAAAATCGAGGGCCAGAATATTGCGTTTTGAAACATTTTTCACTTCCTTTAGAGGTAAAAAAAACTGGGAGAATGTCTGACTTTCTTTGCTTATTTCTGGTATTTCCTGAAAATCCTTTAGATCTCAAAAGAACAAGAGTTCAACACTAATGTATTTGTTTTCAGCATGTCAGTTTCAATGCAAGATGTCATCTTGGGCCAAAAGACTATTAGATTCCATCAAGCTTTAAATATATCATGATAAATTTATCATTTATCAATACACTTATCGACAACTCTAGTGTTCCATTTTTGCTTCACACAAGAAAAACACGACGTGGTTTGTTGTCAAAGAAACCTCAGAATCATCCGTCTAAAGCAAACTGTTTCAACTGAGACCTCATCAGATTTAACAAGCGGCATGTGTTTACATCTGTTATGGTAGGACAGAAAAGGCTCCATTTGACCATTGCTCTGACTGTAAATATGAGCAACTTTAGGTCTGTAGCTATTTTTTTTTTTGGAAATATGTGCCTTACGTGATCTACACATAAGCAAAATGAGCTTAAGCAAGCTCTGGAAAAAAGGAGGCCATTCATAATTTTAAGTTTTTGGAAGTTCTGATCAACTTATAAATTCCAAATTCGAAATTACAGTAAAATAAATATAAAATATAAAAAACAAAAATCTATATTGAATTTAAATTATCAATAAAATGTTTTGGTTACATTTATTTTTAGGAGTTGTTATAGGTGTGCCTTTATAAAAAAAAAATTTTTGACACGCTATTTATTTCCTCTTAATGAATTTACTCAGATTAAAGGCTTTATTTTTTCTAAACTTGTTAGTGTGAAATGAAACTACACATTTCCACTTACACATGGTGTCAATATGTGCAGACATATGCATGTCACTTAATAGACTGATAAAGTCACTATATGTTATGTTTACCTGGACAGCCATGCACTCACATGTCCACAAGGGGGCACTGTGCCCCCCTAAAGCCACCTCACAGGAGTGGATTCTGTTTGCAGTGCATGCCTCCTGTCCCACCACCTTTTCCCTCCTGATCCTCACTGGCCTCCCGTCTCTCCCTGGTGGCGCCCCCTGTTGGCAGTTTCTGCGAACTCCTGTGCCCTCTACTTTCTGCACTTTGCTCTGCCCCGCTATGTTCACTTTGAAGCTGTTGTGTCGTGTCGTTCACTGACTAATGTTATGTTTCTTTCCCTTTCTCTTTTTTTTCCCTTCACAAACACTCCCTTTAATTTTGCTTTTCCAATATTCCACTTGCATGATTTTATATTTTCTCGTCATGAAATGCCTGTCGCTTATTTTGGTCTCTCGTTTCAATCAATTTTTTTTTTCCATGCCTCTTTTTTTAAATTGTTTTTTACTTTTTCGTCGTGTGTATGCATTTTCTCCCTCCTGTATTATTTGCTTTATTTCCCACGTACATTTTTCCTCACCTTCACTTCCCGCCCATTAGTCAATCTTTATGTTCCCTCTTTCGTTTTCCTCATCATCCTCACTCTCCTCCATCCCCCCTTCGCTCGACTCCATCTCCGAGCTCGACCGCGCCCTTTCCGACATCTCCGAGGACGACGACCGAGCCGAGGACGCGGAAGCCGCGCACTCATTGTGGAGCCTCCCCTCAAACACCCTTTCGCTTTTCACCGATCAGCAGCTGGCTGATCTTGGACACCTCATTCAAACCTCTTCATCCTCCCAGCCAGTCTCTGCCTCTCAGACATGCAGCTCAGAGCTTGTGAAATACGAGGAGGGTGTAACCAGAGTAACAGCAGGTTGGGCAAATTTGCGACAGTGGTTTTCTCTGAAGGGTGTGGTTAAATTAGCATCTATCATCTTGTGCTTTCTCTCGGTTTTAAGCAAGAATGAAAGCAGGTGTCTGCCCAGGAAGATATTTACAGGGCCAGGAGAGAAGCAGAACATATATTTAAACATTTTTGGCACTAAATATTCAACTTTCAACCTGGCTGCATTTAGGTTACATCAAATTATGAGCTGCTTAGCATTTCTGTGGGCTCGTTTTCTGGCATTTTTGACACGTCTTTTACTAAAATTCAAGAAGTTTGTCACTACTCTCGCTTTATATACAAAGCAGATACAGTTTCCCAAATTATCCTCCATCCCCTGCCCACAGATTATCTCCTTCTCTTTGCTTTCCTCCTTTTCTTCCCGTCCCTCTCTTCCTCTTACCACCTTCCACTCTTCTAGCTTCACTGCATCTGTCCATCGCTACCTCCTAAACCCCTCCCCTCTCTTCCTCCCATGCCTCTTAGCACTCTTCCTGCTAGTTGTGATGCTGACAGCGAGCCAGTCAGTCGTTTTAGCCCTGATTTTAGCCACACCCCTCGGCCTGACCCTGTCCTACTTAGAGACCGCCGTCTCCAGTCGAAGAAAGACTCTTTTGCCTGTGTTTGTCAGCCACGAGGCAAGCAAGCGTAATTTAAGCCCTGGTGTAGACCAGGACGCCTCCGCTCTCACACCGACACACGCACACCTTCACACCAGGCAGCATGGAGGCACGGGCTGGACCCAGGAGATGTGTGATCCTGCGGCGTAAATTCGCACATTCACATTTCTCATCCTGCCCCACTTTCCATTTGAATTCTTTTCCTTTTTTCAGCCTTTGTGAGAATGTAAACAACATAGAAACCTAAATGTTTCCCCCTTTTGTTTTTTCCCTGCCAACAGCACTCCCTGCACCTGATAAATACTCCTCCTTTTAGCTTCCCTGCACCTCACTCTAATATTTCCAAAGTAAAGAATGAAGTTTTGACATTATTTAAAGAAGTAAAACTATTTAAGAAAATAATCTAAATGAAGAATATTTAGTGTAAGTAGATGTAAGGCTTTTAGATGCTGTTTTTGACTAAACAGACGCGTGTTGAATACACTGCACAGTAACTTAAAATAGATAAAGTGTAGTAATTAAAAATCTGCATTATTTTACAATATTCTCGCTCAGCATTTATTAGCTCTTGGATATTAAACAAAATGTGCATCCATTTGTTTACATATAGGCATGGGCCGGTGCAGAAATATCACTGTGTGAGACATTCTAAAGCAGAAAAGCAAACACTATTATCTCTACTGCATTTTATGTATCCCTGTTTTCACATTTAACACTGGGTGAGCCAGGCTGCAGTGGCTGTTTTGACGATGAGCCATCTACTATAATGTTACTATATATTGTGTGCTCATATAAATCATTAAAATCTCTGGTCAGTTGATCTATACACATCAAAGCAATACATGTATATCAAAGACATGACGTTTTCTGCTATTTCCCACATGCAAAGTAGCATAGAAAGCAGTACGATAGTAACTAACAGGCAGTGCACATTAACAGGCTGAGAAGAGTTTTCTTTCTTCACACAGACAAAGAAAACATCTTGCATCACCCTAAAGGGAGAAGAAATGGTTTAGTGACAGATTTAGCTGTTCTGCGGTCATAATTTACCTTGATTCTGCTGACCGGACCATGCATATGTGTAACACATTTGGTGGCCCCCTATAGAAACTTTAAAACTTAAAACATATTTAATACTTTATGGAGACCCTCTGCTTCATCTAGAGTAAAATTTACTTATTTCTGGTGAATAAAATAGTTTTTAATTATTTTTTTTATGTGATGTTGTACATAAAATCAATTAAGACTGAATAAATAAACTTAATCCATACTTGCAGAAAAGTTTAAGTCTTTTTTTAACATAGAATAACAGCAGGTTCTTGCCGCCTCTGCATACTAATCATCCTAAACTTCTTACATATAGTTTCACATGACCAGAAGTGTTTCCTAACACAAGGGGAACAGGCGTTTCTCATCACCCATTTCACCGTTTTTTTGGGTGTTGTTTTTTTTAACTCATTTCCCCTTCATTTTGACTTCCACCTCCCATGTCTGCCATACTGAAGGCTGAGGAGGTGGACTTGAGCCCTGCCGATGTGGAAGCCGTCCCCTCCGAGGTCTGTAAGGCCTATTTGCAAATTCAAAGCCTGGTGTCATGGTACAAGACTACAGAGGCCGTAATCCTAACCTGTCCTTTCTCCTTGACTTCACCCCAGCAACAGTCACCTGGACGTGCTGATCCTGCCCCCTCTCAGGTTCATAACACTGTTATTGGTGATTTGATCGCCCCAGTGGTTTTTTCTGCTCACGTGGGTTTGTTTGGTGGTTGACATTGCCCTACACACATCAGATCAAATCAGCTGTGTAGCAGATAATAAAAGTCCAGTCAGAGGTTGAGTTGTAAAAACCGATCACGAATGGGCATTTTCAACCATCATTTTCAATTTCTGCTGTGGCTTTCAGTTTCGCAGGTTGTGTTTGGGTTTTGCTTCGTGTGTGTGGTTCATTACATCATTTTGGGATTGCTGAAAAAAAAACGCTGGGGTTTGGTGGTTTATGTGCATGTCTGTTGGTGTTGTGGTGTTTCGAAACGCTTCGGCGGCATGGGTACAGCACTCAGATCATCAGAAATGCCAAAATGGTTTCTTGTTCCTGCACCCATGGTCAACTTTTCTTTTTTCAGTTTGGAATATTTACAGCAATTTTTTTAAAAGTCAAATTAGTTTCTGTTATTTTCTCTGCACATTTGAGTTTATTTTAATTTTTTTCATTAATTTTCTGCGTTTTTGTGCTGTATGTCTGCCTTCCAGAGTCCATTGAGAGTGCATGGGGACAATATTTATGTGAGGCACAGTAATTTAATGTTGGAGGTTGGTACTGGCGTCAACTGATGGCTGAAAACCAGATCTCTGTGTTTCTACTTTTTCTCTAACGCCATCAGAGCTACAGCCTGGTCTTTACTGGACTACCGTACAAGACTGCTGCCCTCTCGCACTCTCAGGCTCTGTGTGCATGCCGGCGTGTGGACGTTTACTCTACTTCAGCTTTTGGCAGATTTTCAGCAAATCCCGTCTCATTGATAAACTTTGTTTGAAGACCTTTCACTGCTCAATGTCCTGATTTGCGCAGCAGCTATTCTGATCAACTACGCCCTTATGTTGTACATTGATACCATACCCAAGGTAAAGTGTACCACTATTCTGGCCAGTAAAGGGGAGTTGGATCCGAATGTGTGAAATGCAAACTATTTGTTTCATGTGCTTTGACACAAAGGCACATAAGAGACTTGGTCATCTAGAAACAATTTCCCAGGCCAAGCGTTCACAATGGCTGCTTTGTGAATAGGATGTGTTGTGTAATGATGTCACTATAATGCATGCTCTGTTCATGTTCAGTGCTGTTTTGTGACTGTGTTTTTACCTTGTTTTGTTCTCAGTCCTTGATTGGTCAAAGGGTTTGATTATTGCCAGGCAGCTGCGTCTAACCTCACTAACCTCTGCCTCCGCACAAGGAGCTTCCTTCCTGTTTTCTCGTGATTGGCTGCCACTGCAGAGACGTGTGGTTGGATAACAAACTAAAACAACAACGCCTGTTCGTACAAATTGGGGCTGATGGTGATCGACTGCTATTGCGCTGAGAAGTCCACAAAGTATTTTTGATAGTTTTAGAGTTAAATGGTTCAAATCGGGGATCTCTTGTTGGAAATTAAATCCTCTAGTTTTCTAAGATGGCCTTTTTTGGCCCTTAAAAAACTGTTTTTAAAACCCAGGTTGGTTTTGTTCATTTTTATTCATTAACAAAACGCAATTTAAAAACTGCTTTTCAGCCTTACTCATGAAACGCTGTTTGATCTGAAACATTTAAGATTGACAAAAATTAAAAGAAATTTTAATTATATATATATATATATATATATATATAATATTATATATATATATATATATATATATATATATATTATATATATATATATATATATATATGGACAAACCAAGTAAAGTGAATTGCTACCAGCTCCATGTTGTACATTCTGCCATGCTGTTTGACCTCATTCATAGAAAAAATAAAACAAGTTGGGAGGCCCCGTTTCACTGAAGTCTGGATTTCCAGGTACTTTTCTTTAACCACAGAAAAAGCTTCAGTGAAGCCTGCCCTCCACCCTGTTGCCCTTTGGATTGACCGCCTTATCCCTTCTCCTTTCATCTTTCCCCTCCCTCCTCAACTACCTTCCCTCTTGCTCTTTTCTGTTACATTTCTGCCTCGTCATCTCACTATTGCTCCATTTTCTTCTTTTTTATTCCTAATCTTCTTTTGGAAAATCTCATCAAATCCTCACTGCTATCTTTCTTTGATTTTCTCCCATTCTCCTCACTGCTTGTACTCATCCCTTTCTCACTTACTCACCCCCCATTTACTATCAAATTCCTCATCCCCCGTATCCTGTCCGTCCCCATCAGGACCTCGATAAGACCCAAGACGAGGTTCTGAAACACCAGGCTAGCATTAGCCAGCTCAAGCGTTCCTTTATGGAGGCGCCACCTCCCTCTCCTCCCCAGCCCAACCAGTGGGAGAAACGTCTCACCTCCTCTCCTGCTACGATACGCGTCCAGCAGCAACAAGTGGTACGTCCATTCGGATGTCTATCTCTCTCAACAACCCATTATATCCGCTGATGATTGCTGGGTTGTTGTGTTAGTTGAACTCAAACTAACTGCATTTCCAAAGCTGTGTGTTTCTATGTACAGGTTGGTCCTCCATTGTGTTTAATAGTTGAACATTTGTTTTCGATTTTCATGGAGTCACTTCTCACTTAATTGAGCAAATGTTGCTGGCAATTAACTTTCCTAACTCCTCTACCTTTTTATCAGTGGTTATCTTGACTAACGGTCTGTTTCATTTTTGACAGCATGTGGGTTTAAACCTGCTTTCTCCTTAATCTCTGACTCTTATAAGTGATAAAAACCTATAGTTTTCTCTCCAGTTCTCCATTAACCCTCTGCCGCTGCTGTTTTGTGTGCGTCTCTTATCGTAGAGCCTCGAAGACGAAATAGCTTCAGTGCTTCTCAGCAGACGCACTACTGCTGAATTTTACTCAGCAGGCACTCCGCCTCCCTGCAGTGTACCAGAGCCACCACTAGATGCCGCTGTGACCACATATTCATCTGCTGCCGCTCCCACGGCTGTCTGCAGTTCATCTTTGTCTCATCCTGTTTCTGCACTCACTGCCACTGAGGTGCTTCTGCTGGTACTAAACATTAAGGTGTCGGTTTACTTTGTATGGTCCCAAATGGACAGTTACATTCCAGTTTGATGATGCTTTTTCTTAATTCAAAGAGTTTAAGGGTGAGAAATATTATGTTCTACTCATTACCTAACATATGTCACGATATCAGTTTGTTTTTGCAAGTTTCCTGTGCAACTGTTTTTTTTTTTTTTACGGAAAATATATCCGTCTTCATATGCTAAAGTGCCAGACTAGGACTGGCATGTTTAATTTTGATATGATAATTTAGAGACAAAACTTACAAAAAAAAGTTGTTTCCTGCTTCATAAAGGCAGCTTTTTGTTGTGAACGTCACATTTATTGAGTTGTGTTTCAGCTCCTTTCTTCTATACTGCAGCACCCAGGACAGTCTCTTCTTTACTCTAAATGTCATAAAAAGGGGTGGAAGTAACTTATTTTTGGAGAAAACAACCAGTATGAGGAGCAGGGTTTAGTTTTTTTTGTACGCTGGACCATTAGCTCACACAGGGGTCATCTCTAGTCCAATCATTATGTGAGATTTATCTTTATTTTCTCACCCATTTCTTTCTTTTTTTTCTTTTTACCTCCTCTCAGTTGACCAGCTTGAAAGTGAACTGACACCTTTTAATGCTTTAGTTAATTAAAGCTGCTTGGCAGATGTGTATATCAAGCCTGCTGTTGATGTTGCATGAATTAATTTGCGTCTGGGAGCACTTAATCCTCAGTGACTTGTTGATGCACTATTTTCAGGATTCATTTGATCTAAATCGACTAACAGCTGTGCAGTGGAAGGGTTTGTCATTTCTGGCGGTAAAGGAATGCAAATTGCCAAATCTGCACCCCAGACGTTCTGTGCCTATTAAAGACGGTGCGATCTGAAACAGCTGTTTTCACAGAGGCTGGAATGGGGGGGTACAAAAAGAACCTTATAATGTGTTTATTGTGTGCCTGTTTGCTGGAGCTTCTTTAAATGGCAAAAGAAACGCATTGCCATGCATGAAAAAAAGACTCTTCAATATCATATTTTCTTTTGTCGTTTGCTTCTGTGAGCAAACTTCATTTCTATTCTTATTTTCATCCTGTTTTTGCTCGCTGAGTTCTTGCTGTGCGCGTGCGGATGTAGCGTCTGTGCAGAACAGCGTCCCACAGACAAAGAGAGGACAAGATGAGAAGTGAAAGAGCCGATGAGAAAAGCTGGTCCCATCCCCACGCTGTGATGACAGGCGGCCCAGTGTTGCTAATTGCTAACTGTGATTTTCCTGCTGATGTGTGACTGATGTTGTCGACTTAACTTCTCTGTCACGCAGGTCAGTGTGCCGCAAACCGAAGCAGCTTCAGCTGATAACACAAGCTCTGAAACCAAAGAACCTGCAAAGGTGGTACTAACTTTCTTTGTAACCCCTCCCAGCTTTCCATTCATGACTTTCGCTTCCTTCCTGCCTCCATTTGTTCTCAACTGAGTTTTTACTTTCCCATTGCCACTTCGGTCGTTTCCTATTTGATCCGATGTTGAGGGTTCCTACACAGTCTGAAAAAGTATGGAATAGAATTTTTAGGCTGTGGATCTGGAAAAGTGGAAAGAATAAAGTCTAGGGAAATATTTTTGTTTCCAGGATTTTTTTTTTCTTGTCCAAAGTTTTCTTTTCCTCTTTATTCTTTGATTTCTTCTTTACTTTTTCATTTTGTTTTCTTCCCTCTCTCCTTTTTCCTTTTCCTTTCTTAGTTTTTTTCTTTTCCTTCTTTCCTTCCTTCTTTCACTCCAGCCTTTAATTAATTTTTAATTAAATGTAAAAGAAAGAGAATTTAAAACCGTGTAGAAACCCTGCAGGATCTTCTTCATTAATACCTCATCTTATTTTCCTCATGTTTTTTGTGTGTATATATATTTTTTTGTTAACCCATTTTTAATTTATGTTCAATGACCATATTTTGCTCTTGTGTTTTTTTGCTTTTTTTTTTTTGCGTTTGTTGTATACGTGTGCACCTCATCGTGTGTGTCTGTGCACTCTGTGTACGTGTGTGCGTGTGTGTAGACCACCGAAGTTGAAATCGAGGAAACTGTTGTCATCCAAGAAGTTTCCAGAGCGCCCAAACCCGGGGTCGTCACATTTACGACTGATCCTCCTGCCGCCTCACCCGCTGAGGGCGAACCTCAGGACCAGAAAGTGAAGGTCGAAGAGGAAGCGGCGGCGGTGGAGGAAGAAAGCCCCGCGAAGCCGGAGAAGGCGTCCTCTGAAAGCGAGAGTGAGGAGGAAGCAGAGTACCATCCAAACGTTTCTGCATCCGTCTCTCAATCACAAATACCAGAGGAGAAGGAAGAAGAAGAGCCGATGGAAGAGGAGCAGAAGCAAGCGTCTGCTCCGGTTGTTCCATCTCTTCCAGTGGAGGTCAACCAGCCTGCAGAAGAAATAAATCGTGAAGAAGAATCTAAGAAGGAGGAGATTCAGTTTGAGGAGAAGAAAGACAATCAGGAGGAGAAAGAAAGCGGACGGGAGACGGAGGACAGCACAGATGATCCGATGGTGACCCCCGAAGAGGCGCCAGAGGGCCTCATGCTGCCCGAGGAGAGCGCAGAGGCCGGCCCCACCGAGGAGCCGGAGCAGCCTAAAATGAACGGAGAAGCCTCGCTGGTGGAAGTGGATCCCCGGCCGCAGGTTATTTGTTGCTCTGAGGTAAAGCCAACTGCGGAGCTCCTCCAGGGTTTTGAACCTTCCTGCCAGCCGTAGAAAACACCCATTTCTTTCCCCGCTGCTTCTCACATCGCCGGTTTCCTTTTCCTGCTTGTGTGAAACTTTAAGCCCCATGTACATTCTCACACTCCTCTCCGTTCTGTGAAAGCATATTGAGAAAATAAACACCTTTTGAGGACAGTTAGGATTGTGCTGTAAGACTTCATCGCCATTATTGTTGGTGTTAATGTCAAATTCCTCAAGAAGCCACCTTTATGTTACTGCCCAGTCGCACTTTTTTATGTCTGCCACATTTCCTACCATTATCCTCATAGATATAGTGCCACTCATTGTGGTGTGTCGATGCTGTTGCCGCCTACGTTGTGCTGTGAAGTAAATGGGGCCTAAGTGGGAAATGCAAGATGCTTTTAGGTGTGCGCGTTTTCATTTTGCATGCTGATTTTCACCTTTATGAGCTGTGCCTGTGTGTCCTTTATTGTGTTTGGCAGTGATGCTGCTCCTCGTATTTGTGGAAATCGCCATTGCCAAGCACTTTGGAAATGCCACCCACTCATGAATGCCACCTTGTTTACATTTCAATAGCCGCTTTGTTTTCCAGTCATTAGAGCCCTGCTGGCTTTATTGGCTCATGTTCCCTTCATGTTGGTGCCGTCTCATGTTGGGAGTTGCATGTTGACACCCAAGAAAGTTCTGTGGTCGGTGCTGCTGCTATAGCTGCTGTAGCTGCTAGTTATCTTCTCTTGGCTAGTTTGTAATTTGCTTTTCCTGGCATGACGTTGCACGAGTTTAAGAGCTCTCGTTCCACCTGCATGAATGTTATTGCCTGTGTGCTTGTGTGTGCGCTTTGTTGATATATCTACACTTTCTGATACACATACAGTATTTACAGTCCCTTGCAATATTACTCAAAATTTCAACTTCACTGCCTATTTTTAGGGATTTCATGTGCGAAGCTAACACAAATTAGTGTAAACTAAAGTTTAGAAAAAACTTTATGCATGTTTTTTTTTTTTCTTTGATTAGGTCCCGTTCTATATGTTTGCTCAGTCCCCTATCTGACTCTGTAAACTTCTTTTTCAATTATTAGGTGACTGACAATTAAAAGCTATTGGTTGATCTGGATTTTATTTAGGAGCATCAGAGTTAACAAGTTTATGCCACACATTTTAGATTTTTAGCCATATATTCTTTCTCTGCAGCTTGAACTATCAATCACTACTTTGTTTTGGTCCATCACATAAAATCCCAATAAAATACATTAAGGGGAGCAACACTTTTGCAAGGCACTGTATATTATCAGCACTTACACAAAAGTCACTTTTGTTTGGTACCGTTGTCTTTGAACCAACTTCTCTTAATTTTGTGTTAAAGTGACGACTGTGTTGGAAGTCATTCTGATGCCAAAGATGTCTTATGTATCTATTTATTTGTTCCCAAAGCAGTCTCATGTTACACCTATTAACAGTCTCTCCTTCCTGCTCACTCCTGTCTCTCCTCCCTCCCCAGCCGCCTGTGGTAAAAACAGAAATGGTGACTATATCAGACACGTTTGCTGCCCAGAAAACTGAGATAGCCACAAAAGAAGTGCCCATCGTGCACACGGAAACCAAGACCATCACATACGAGGCCGCACAGGTGCACACTTGAGAAGCACAGGGAGTTTGTTCTTTTCATATTATTATGATTATTTCTTTCGTCTGTGTACCTTTTTTATTTAATGTGGGAAAACCCTTTAGTTTAACATACTACTCCTATTACTTGTGTCACAAAGTGCTTTCTTTTCTAGCAGCAGGGCATGGCGCCACCAGAGAAAAAAAAAAAGTCTTGCCTTGTAGAGATGAGTTCAAGAACTTGCTGATTTGGAGCCGATGACCTCATTTTTTCTCTCTTTTACTCAGTTGGACGGTAATGGTGACGGTGAACCCGGAGTGTTGATGACCGCTCAGACAATCACCTCTGAGTCTTTGTGTACCACCACCACCACGCACATTACCAAGGTACAGGACATGATTAAGCATTTTCATGTTGCTAGAACCTAAATCTTACAGTCCGTTAGTTCTTCTTTTTTTATGTCTTAAACTTCTGAGTTCAGGGTGTTAAGTTTCGGGTTTTATTCATATAATTTCCATCATTTTAAGATTGATTTATTTATCTATTAAATTTGGTTAAGTGCTACCTTTTGGTTAAAATATATGAATGTTTTTGTTCCATGTTTTAAAGTTGTCGATAGATTGCGCTCTACTTTGAGAAAACTCCAAGGGACATTTTGATGCACGGCAGCAAACGAGCATTATAGTCGAACTTTTAGCCTTTTGACTTCTTGTCTGCAATGGATTTTGACTCTTGCGAACAATTTATCTGTGAAATTTAAATGTTCTTGACTACCTGTCCTCTTCCCTGCTCATTTATCACAAAAACCTGCACAACTGTTTGAGTTTAAATAAATCCTACTGAAAGCTGAAGAAACCCTGAAGTCAAACTGAAGCCGAGTCTGACATAAAATTTTTTTTTCAATGACGCCATCATTCTTTTATGTTTCGTCGCCCCCCGGCTCAGCGCTTCCCTCCCAGCTGTGTCTCGCCAGCCGGGCCATTACACTTACAAATAACCACATGCGACGGTCATCAAAGTCGTGTCCTCCGTTTTGTTCCAGACATTAAAAGGCGGGCTCTCGGAGACGAGGATTGAGAAGCGCATCGTAATCACCGGCGACTGCGACATCGACCACGACCAGGTGGGTTCTCTGCCCCTCTGCCACTTTAACCTGACAACATGTGGAAGATGTGAAAGGTTCTGTCGAAGATCATTTCTTTAGATGTAGAGTGCAAAAGTATTGGGTTTTTTACATTTAAAAACATTGTTGGGTATTTAGACATCTGGTGACATGTCTTGTTGCTGGCAGCCAGAGGGCGACTTCTTCTTTATCACTTTCTCCCTCCATCTTTGCCTTGTTGGATGTTTTTCTTTGTTTTTGTCTAAACTTATCGATCTCCCGGTTCATTTGATTTGCTGTCTTTGCTTCCAAAGATTTTGTGTCTTGTGTTCTAAATCAGTTTAGTCAAACTCAAATGAAAAGGGACTGCCTTTGCATCTGCATGACTCCTGCTCTGTTGTTTGCTTAAGTTGCATGTCTGTTCGGTTTTGCTAAACGTTAGCAAAAACGACCAGCTCAAGTTTCAGCGTTTTGGGAATTAATTCCAATTGGAATAATTTCCTAATTTAAAGCCATTTTAGTCTGTCAGTCCTCTTATTTGCTATTCTGTCAACCCAAAAACGTAAAATGGTCCACTGATCTTTCATATGATGTGTTTATTTTTCATTTTTAATTTAAAATGCTTCTTATTTCATTTTTTTCCCTTTATTTAACACCATCATTTTGCCCTCCTTCCCCTCCACTGCCTGTCGTGCTCGGTGTCTCCCCTCTGTGGCTGCCCTCGGGTACTGCAGGCACTGGCACAGGCCATTAAGGAGGCCAAAGAGCAACATCCTGACATGTCTGTTACCAGAGTGGTTGTTCATAAAGAAACTGAACTGGCTGAGGAGGAGGATTGACTGAACTCAGGTAATAATAGTGAGCGTTGCACTATTGTTTTTGAAACATTTTCTGTCTTTCTGAGGTACTAGAAGAGTTTCAACACTGCAAATTGTCTTGTATCGCAGCATCATCAATTTTAAACAAATCTGGCCTTTAGTGCCAGTAAATTGTAAACATGTTCACACATGTACAGTTCACAGCACTATGTTTGCCACCAAAGAAATAAAACCCAATACAAGACCTAATAAATAATTGATACCAGCGAATATCACTACGGTCTGAATGCGTGTCGGCTTTATTGTCTACTGAACCGACTTCAGAGAAGAAAAAGAACGCACTGATTTTCCCACAGGGTTTTTAACTGAAGGCTTTTTTATGGCATTCTTCTAAAAAAAAAAACCCAATGGGTGTGTTTATAGGGTTCAATTATTGCTGTAGAGGCTTAGTTTCAGTTGACATAAATAGCATAAAATGATGCAGTTTTAGTTCTGTTTAGTTTTTAAATATTTTTTTCTAAAAGTAGATTTTTTATTTTTTCCCCTCCCCCTGGAATTAAATGGTTGATTATTCTGACATTTTTCACATGCTGCTGCAATAGAAGGACTTTTTGCACATCTTTACCAGTAAATGTGCCGGGTGATGTAGCTGAAAGTGGAATGAGTGTATAGGTCTGTGTGTGTGTGTATGTGAGAAAAAAACAACAAAAAAAAACTAAGTGGTGTGTTCTGTGAAAGGTGTCGGAATGTTTCTGACCACAGAGCTGCAGGCTGATTGCCCCCAATCTGCTTTCCAGAACTGAAAGACCAGCAGTGACCCTTACCTCCTCTGACAACATCTTCATCACTTTACAACAACCAAGCTGCACTGCCAAAGGGAGAGAGGAAGAGGAGGAGCTGAAGAATAGGAGGAAGAAGAGGTTCTATCCGGGGAGGGGGGGATTGAAGATGTCACTCTCAACCCAGATGGTCTTTCAGATATTTGTTTTGGTGCATTTCAGTTTCTCGTTGCTAAAAGAGAAAAAAAAAATATCCTCACTCTCTCTGAGGGAACAAAAAGAACCACTTTGTTAGCTTAACGTTTGTAGCTTCTATTCTTTTATATTAGAGCGTTTTCTTTACCTGGTTTATAAAAAAACACAAAAAAAGAGAGAGAGAGGCTATAGTGTGTGTTGCAAATATCGAATTAGGCTTCTGCTGATCTCCAACACGCCTGACATTCAAGAATATTTCATCTACGTCTCTATTATTACATCAGCAAAATTCTAAAATATCCCAAAATTATGTTAGCATAAAAAAAAGCCAATGGCTTCAGACTGAAATAGCCTCAGTCCACATCATTTTGCTCTAAATGAGGGTTTTTTAGAGAATTCCTTTGAAAATGAGTCAGTAAATTACAGCTTCTATTTTCCTTTAAAAAGATGTAAATTAAAAAAAAAGGAAAATATTTAACTCATTAATCCGGTTTGAAGAACATAGAAATCTTTTTACATTTTTTTACCTGATAAAACAACGCAAGCTATTTCACATTAATGCTTTATTATTACTGTTATTAATTACACAATGGCGGGAGCTGTAATTTTGCAGTAAATCATCCAGGTTTTTGGATCTTTTATTATTATTTTTTTTATGTTGTAAATGTAGCTTATTCATCCACATTCCTTGTGTTGTTACCAGCTGCTGAGTAAGGTCATCTTCAGTTCAGCTCTCGTTCTATTTCACCAACACAAGGTGACATTTCACCACTCATGTTTGGCGTGAAATTACATAAGCTTCAAAAGCAGAATGTGATGAATTTCACAAATCGACAGTCAGACGAAGTTGAACTGAAAGTCGGCGGATTTCAACGCTGGTCGATGCATTTCTTGTGCGGAAAAGAAGACAGAAAAATGAAGGTTATTAAAAAAAAACAAGATGATAATAATAAGAGCAGCTTTTCAGTAGCTCAGCGCCTCGTCGGGCTCTTCTACTGTTCAACACTAAGCATTCCTGCTGGGCCCCAGGGGAACATGGGAGATTAAACTGACATTTTAGTGGGAGAGACGACTGGTAAACTGGACGACGATTGGGAGAGAGCCAACCGATACCTCGGGAGTGAAAACCAATTGAAGCGGCGATACAAGTTGGCCTTACTCTTGCGCCGGTTCCAGCGCGGAGATGCTGTATTTTCAGAGAATATCTCCGTGCAAAATTTCTTTTCGTTTAAATTATTCAAAGCGAGCCGCGGAGCAGCGAAGGTACCAAAACGGAGACGACTTGAAACCAGTTCTGCCCCAGATTCAGACTAATGCAACTTTTACACGTTCGCTGTGACTACAAACCTGCTTGTTGTCGTAGTTCTTCACTGTTCACGCCCGGCTGCTTTTTATATCCGTTTCATATCCTGCTACACTTAACACTAAGAAAAAAAAAAAGCCTGTTAAAAGACGATACGGGATGGAGTCACGCATGCGTCATCCTTTCTTTTCTGTCAACTTCAGCCAGCTGAGAACAGGATGCTGCTGTCTGTGACTGGCTTAGGTTTAGATTATCTCAACTGAAATAATCTTACTTCATCTTGCTGCTGGTCTAGTCCAACCAAACGTTCTGCTCTATTCAAGCGTGATTTCAAGCGGTTCCCGTTGCACAAAAAAACACGAGAGGGGTAAAACAGTCGGTACAACATCACAGCGCAGCTTAAAGAGGGAGGAATTGGAGGGCCTGAAGTGCTCTTTAAACCCACAATGAATTCCTATGTTGTCTTTTTTCAAATTTTTGTAGAGTGACACCAAATCACACCGTTTTTAATTCTGAGAACCTTGAAGAAAAGGCTTTGTTGTTCAAGCGGACTCGGCTGAGAAAACATGTTCCACTTCTCTTTAATTGGACCTTTTGAAAATTATGTTGAAAGTAGTACAGCTTTTTCTACACATCCAGTCTGAAAAGTGTAACATGTCCAGTGGACTGCGAGTCTACAGGAAGGAAAAAAAACAAACAAACAAACAAAAAAACGTTCTGAACACAGGTCTTACTTCAACTATGCAGCTAAATAACATTCCACATGGGGAGGGAGCTTTGACTTCTAATCCTCTTGCAAAACAGAAGGAAAAAAATAAAACATGAAAAAAAATAAAACCACTTTCATCATCTCCAGGCAGCTTTGGAAGCGACCGCTGCTCCACATAGGAAAATCTCATTAAATGAACCTGTAATGCCACATCAGCTGAGTCTGTCGAGTCTCTCGTGGTTCGTCTTTTCTCCGTGAAACTGGTCTCGTAGTTGGGAGGGTGGGCTCTGTCGCTCCACCTTCCTGCTTATTTGTAATATTGCCACTGTGTATTTTGTTGGTGAAGAAAAACCACTACAGATCAACTCGTTCTGCCACCTTTTCTCTGCTACTGGTTCAGGGCTCTTCTTCTCTTTGAATCAACCGCAGGAGGTCCAGGGGGTTGGCGAGGTTGACTTTTCCAAAATGTTTGTAGCTTTAATGAAAGAAAAGAGAAAGAAAGAAAAAAAAGATCAGAATTTTAATCTTTTATTCAGATTACAAAGCTGATTATCATTACCAGCTGATTTTAAATCTGTCAGGGATTTTAACTAAAATGTCGTTGGAGCTTTATTCCACACAATAACAGCACAGTTTTGTATCTCGTCTAAACCTAACACTTTTATGAAGACGGACGTTTTGAAGAAATTAACCAGCCACCTCTTTGCTTCCTGCTACCGACACATCACTGGTAGGTTGTTTAGTCTAGCTGCATAATTGTGTTGTCTCCTCACACGCAGCCACTCCTCGCCCCTGTGTAACACTGTTCAAATAAACAATTGTTATACTCTTGAAACACTTCTAGTCGTCTTTTCTTTTTTTTTCCAGGCACTTATTTTATTGACATTAAAACCTAAACAATGCAAACGGACGTACATAGCCTGAGAACTGTGTTGGAGATCAGCATCATACATAATATTAACCTCACAGTATCCAATTTGCAAAAGAGTTATTACACATTTTGACATGCATTCACTGTTTCCACACTGAGTAGAGTTCAGACATTGTATGTACATAAGTTAAATTTGTCCTTCACTGTTAAGAGATTCCTGTCAGGAATGGGAATGTGATCCAAAACTTCTCCTCCTCAGACTGGGCCTCTGTCTGTGGATGACACTTGGGTCCTTCTCAAACCTGGACAGATCCCTCTCAGCTGGGGGTGAGAAGAAGGAACGGGGGCAAGACAGAAAATATTGGCTGAATGATTATTGTATAAGGCAAAGGACATTGAAGAGTAATGTTAAGTTTAGTGGCTAAAAGTTCAGATTGTTTGTAGTAACCATTTGGGTGGGTTCGCTATAGCGTGTATTACAGGTGACACCTGGAACAAGAGCCGCTTCGCCCGCCGGTACACATCAGCTGCTTCCGGAGTCCCAGAAGCCAAAAAGGCCTGATAGGACTCCTTCTTCAGCCTGACAGCATCCCTCACCAAAGGTGTCCACCAACGGGTTCAAAGGTTGCCGCCATGACAAGCCTTGTGGCCACAGCTCTGGTGAGCTGCCTCGACAATGGAGGCATGGAACAAGGTCCACTCGGATTCAATGTCTCCCCCGGAATGTGTTCGAAACCCTGCCGTGTTAGCTGTTGTACAAATAGTAGCTAATATAAACATAGTGAGCCACCAAAGGATTTTCTAGAAGCACTCATGGGTAGATATTTTTTGTTAATAGTGAAATGGGACATGACAGCCATATTTAACTGATTATCTGTGAATGGCTGTAAATTACAGGACTGAGGAGCGTAATTGATTAGATCTGCTCCAAGCATAAACAGCAGATGAGATTTTCACATTAACCAAGTCAAGCTTGTTTACTCTGGACATCTTCAAAAGAACAACACGGGAGATGAAAACACCCTTGCACCTCGCTTTTTTGATTTCATAGCTATTGCTTTGATGTAATTGGGCATGTATGTTTCCTTCAAATCCACTAGCAGGCAGATCAGATGGCCAAAATAGGGTCACAACTTTATTTATGGGATGTGGACGACTGGAGGCATCTGTCTGTGTTTTATGTCAACACTAAGAACAAAGGGGCTCGGGGTAAATCGGCAGAGCAGCATTTGTGACCAAGTCCCAGAACACACACAGAGGAAAGAAATCAAATGTTTCTGAATATTAAACTATTACTAACGACCACGCGCTTCCCCCCTTATACTTCACTCATTTTGGTTCAGACACACACCAACACGATAGGACCACAGTTGTGTAACAATCTCAGTTATCTATCATCATGGGATAAATTTAGATTTATCCCAAAAATGTCACAGTGTTGAGACTCAGGTTATTTTTATTTTATTTTTTTTATCCCCCCAGGAGCCAATTTTGGCCATTTTCACTTTTTTTTTTTTTTTTGGGGGGGGGGGGGATGTAGCTTACTCAGGACCCAAAGATATTTCTTTGTAGCCGCAGGCGACAAGTTGTCATGTGCAGCAAAAATAAATCTAGAGGTATGAATAATCCCTGGCCTGCTGTTAGCACAGTGCACTCGGATGACGCTAGAAAACGGGAAAACCTTTCTGCACATTCTTGTAATTGGCTGCTCCTCATTCTGGGATAAAATGAAAGTTTTTTTGCGGCCCTGAAGGCAGCCTGCCGTGGCGTCTGTTTAGTTGCGTTCACTCGTATTAAGTGCAACAGCGAATCATCTGGGTGACATGTCAACGAAGACCTAAAATCGTGCCCACCCTGTCTGAGTTTCCAGCTGAAGTAGATGATTAGTTGCAGGAGCAGCAGACAGACTGACAGGAACAGCAGCAACCCAAACAGCCAGAGAGGAAGAAAGCTGTCTGTGTCTCTGTTTGTGAGTGTGACAGCCTGTTGCAGGAAAAGGGCCAGATCAGCCCAGGGGCCACTCAGCACCTCCATGCTTGTTCTGGAAGAGAGGAGTGGACATCAGGGTTGATGTGACATAATGGACATGTAGCAAAATCTGTGTTTATGTATTGCAGGCATATTGACATTACGGTACATGTGAATTTCACAATTTTCACATATTTTATTAATCTAGTCCAAGGGCCTGAAATAAAGTTAAGAGTTCCACAGGCTAAACATAGAGCTGTGTTTTTAATCTTAATTTCCTCCATTTCCCCCTCCTCATTTTCACACTTTACATGTTCTTGGATATAAATTGTATTGTAATCCCATGCGCTGCATTCACTTCCAGCCCCATCTGTCACCACAGCTTAATTTAACGGGCATGTGTTCAGCAGCTCACTGACCCAACAAGCAGAGCGTCTGGATCTGTAAAGAGCACCTGGTTTGGGTTAACATAAAACAACGTGGCTCGCCTCGTAACGGAGCCCTCTCACAACACGCTGCTACATTTCTGCGTAAAAGAAACCGGCAGCCTTCAAAAGTCCTACTATGAAGTCTTATCTGCTGCATTATTTACCAAAAGACCTCCAGCTGGTTGGTAAATAAAGACAAGGGTTTTGGTTAATGTTCTATGTTCAAACAGGCGTTTGAATGGAGGGGAGACGATTTGCTTATGCAGAACCTATGCAGAGTGTAGCGCAGTCTGGCTACTGTAAGCACCACCATTACCAACTAAGCTGACACATTAACCACAAATAATCTCCGGCCAGTTGGTCACCATCAAATGTGGTCTGATGTGACTTATGAAGGGTTAACAATCCAATCATCCATCCATCCATCGTCTGCCGTTTATCTGGGGTCGGGTCGCGGGGGAAGCAGCTTAAGATGGGAGGCTCAGACTTCCCTCTCTCCAGCCACTCCTTCCAGCTCTTCTGGGGGAATCCCAAGGATCCCAAGCCAGCTGAGAGACATAGTCTCTCCAGCATGTCCTGGGTTTTCCTCAGGGCCTCCTCCCAGTGAACTTGGCCGGAACACCTCCCCAGAGAGGCGTCCAGGAGGCATCTTGACCAGATGCCCAAGCCCCCTCAACTGGCTCCTCTTGTTGTGGTTGAGCAGTGGCTCTACTCTGAGTCCCTCCCGGATGACCGAGCTTCTCACCCTATCTCTAAGGGAGAACCCAGCCACCCTACGGAGGAAACCCATTTTGGCTGCTTGTATCCGCAATCTCGTTCTTTCTGTCATAACCCAAAGCTCATGACCCATAGATGAGGGTAGGAACGTAGATCGACCGGTAAATCGAGAGCTTTGCTTTTTTGGCTCAGTTCTCTCTTCACCACAATGGACCGGTACAGCGCCCACTTCACGGCAGACACTGCGCCAATCCGCCGGGTCGATCTCCCGTTCCCTTCTTCCCTCATTCATGAACAAGATCCCAAGATACTTGAACTCCTTCACTTGGGGCAAGACACTCCCCTTGACCCGGAGAAAGCACTCTACCCTTTTCCGGCTCAAGACCATGGCCTCGGACTTGAAGACACTGATCCTCATCCCGACCGCTTCACACTCGGCTGCATAAAACCAGAGGAGAATGTTTGGCCAGAAGTTGCGTAGCACATTGGCACATACTCTTCATGCTTGCTGCGCAGCACGGCGGGTGGAAGGTCAACGTTTTTGGCTAGTCTTGCAGCCACTTCACCTTGGTACTCGGCGGTCATTGAACTTTTAAAGCGTGTCCACTGTCAAAGAATAGAATGGATGTTTTCATGTGATTTTGTAGACTTTTTTGGAAGTGGGAAAACTTGATAAATTAGCAGCGTGTCAGATCATCACCGGCTGCTGGGTCACAAGCAATGAAACATGTCTTCTAAAAAGCAAACTAAAGATGTTTCTATTCAGTCTGGTTTTTAGTTGGACCTTGCATAATGTAAATTTTGTTGTTGTTATATTAATCGTTTTAGCGAGCGCAATTTTATCGCTTGTGTGTCGTTTTGGTGATTTAAGATTTAAGCTATATTGATGTTTAGATACTTAAATGTTTTGCGTTTGTACGTTCAGATTTTTAGAACTATACTTTGTTTTTCATAGTTACTCCCAGTAGTTTCTCACTAAATTCATTTGCTTTTCCCCAGTTTATAATAATTCTTGTGTTTACTTATCTATTTGGGTCTTGCAGGTTGTCAGAGTTAGTCTTTCTTTTCTCCCAGTTTTCAACCTCAGAGAAACACTTTGCGTTAGAGTTGTTTCTTTGAAAAGTAGTCTGCCTTGTTGTCAGAGTTGATCCTAAAAGCTTTAAAATGCTTTCCTTTTTGTTTTTTTGAATACTTGTCAATTTTAATCATTTTAAAACCTGCTATGTCCTGAAATGTAAAACATAGCCTGGAAAGAAGACAGCAGCTTTAGAACTGCTTTCTGAGCTCATGACATGGCCCGGTTACTATTATTTGATTTTAAATTATTTTTCTCTCTTTCCAGCTTTAATAGTTAAAATGTCAAACTGTTATAGTGGGAAATGTGCAGATGGCGTCATAGCAGATCACCGGATCCACATCAAATCACTCAACTTTTACGCCGACAGTATTTTAGAAGTTTGCGATAGCCGCCCACATGTATAATTTCGACCGAATGAAGTAACGCAGAAACGTGACGCTGCTAGTTATTTCTGGGTCGCATTCCTACCTGTGAAATTACAGCCTGCATCTGAGAGTGCACTTATGCACTGAATTTAAATTACACTCTTATTCCTGGAGCAAACTGCCATGAAATTAGTCTGTTTCTCACCCACCAATGTCTGGTGACAAAAGCCGACGGCAGTAAAAACATAAGAGAGGGAAATGAAATGGAGACTCTCGTTCACGTGCAGGGCACGAACCAAAACTCAACTCTGCTATTGTGGAACGGGAAACCAAAGGTATGCACTCACACTTTTCGGGATCCTTCAGTGCGTAGATGTACATGTTGCCAGGTCCAAACCTCTGTCAGAGTGTGACAGCAATTGATTTAGTTATTTTGCAATAAAAACAAAAAACTGAAAAGACTTCCTTGCTCTGAGGCCTAATCCTTTCCTCTGCTTTTGCTGTTTGATCAAATCTGCCACTGTTCTTGATTCTCTGCCACTCTCCCTCTGCTGTCAGTGTGAACTTTGTCCTGTTTTAACAGTCCAGCCCTGTGATCAGTAAGAAGATTAGCTATACTGGCCTGAGTGTGAGCCTTTGTAACGTCCAGATACCGCGCAGGATTCCTTAACATTTCAGCTTCCTCCAAAAGAGCAAAATTTGAAAGGGAGTTCTTTATTTTATATTGAGCGCTTCGAGTGCATGTGTGCAGTCTGAGCAACACTCCGATCTCTGAACCTCAGGACTTTTGTACTCGATGCCTCATAAAACACTCAACAACACAGAGACGCTTTCGCCCGCTTGAATTGCTTTTTTGTTTTTTTTGGGAGGGTTTTTTTTCACTTTAGCTCCACCATTTCCTCTCTATCAATGACATTTATATTTCATAAACTTTGTATCTCATCACCTTTTGTTTTGCACTTCAGTTGAATGCAAATTCATCTTTTCTTTCCCTTTACAGCTTTTCCATAAAGCCTGATCTAATCTAGATAAGTGAACCTTTTGGGTTTAGTTGAATAAAGAGGAATAACTGTATTTCTAATGTGATGTTTGAGGGAGGAAGAATACAAAGAAAAATTTTAACTTTTATACAATTTTTTGTTAAATTACTATTTATTTGATGCTTCTTTATGGGCTTGTTGCAAAAAACCCAGAAAAGCTAGATATTTAGGACATATGTGAAGCTGAGTACCCACCGGGGCACAACATTAAATTCAAAGCCATTGAAAATATTTCTACTTTGATAGAGATATGACAGAAAAGGGGACAAGGTGTTGGATTTAAAGCACTAACTACAAAGTTAATGTGGTTTAGAGAAGTAACAGCTATTTGTGAATTAATTTAGTTATTTGATGGAATTCACAATGCTATGTTAAAGAGCATGTTAAAAGAACCTCAGCGTCACACGTTGAGGGAAGATCGTTCTCCACATTACCCTCCGCCATCCCAGGTTGCAGGCCTTTAAAACTGATTGTCTATCAATTTGAGGCCAAATTTCATGAGTTCTGAGCGATCATTTGAAAACGTAAATTACCCTCCTAACTCTTTCTCCCAGTCATCTGTGAACAAGTAAAGGCCTTGTTTGCTGCAAACAAACAAGAAAAGGAATTGAATTGGATTCCTTTTTCTTCACAGGTTTAACTTTGACGTTTTTCCCACCAGCCAGTTCCATTACTGAAAGAGAAACCGCCTTAATGATCCTATCAAATCACTCCACCAGATGTTTCATTCAGCCCGTTCCTAATAAGCTCCTAAAATCGCAAGTAAAACAGAAAAGCCCAAAATGCTGTGAGTTCACCGTTTACCGTCACCACCACTGGGATTTCAAAGCGCCGATGTTTCAGTTTGATTTCAGCGAGCGACCTTTGCACCAGGGCCGTGCAGAGACCTTTGGAAGGGCAGGGGCTCAAGTTTTAAAAAAGGGCACCTTTAACAAAAACACCGCACAACAACATAGCAACAAAATCTAATTGTATCCTACTATATCATTTCCATCATGGAGGACAATGCAAAGCACACGTAGTATTTTACTCTAAAGGTTATAAAGTTGCTGTTTCTGCTGCTGACAGTCTTGGAGGGCTGGAAGGTCAATGGTTATAAAGTTATGAAATAAGCTAGTTTTGCTGCCACCTCCTCTGAACGCGCCTGCTTTGCACCAACTTCGTAAAGGAAGATGTGTTTTTTTTCCCTTTTTTGATCCCTGTTTACTGTCCCGTCTCATCGGTGCTCCTGTGGCATGAAAGCAGAGCTGCTCCCATCTCAGTCAGGCTTGTTTTCTGTAAAACTCGCAGGCGTCAGTGCCAGTCGGTGAACCGCGCAGACTAATTGAGTGACGACATTGTGAGGATCAATAAAAATCGATCGCCTTTGTGTGATCAACAGATAGGGGGGGCTTGTTTTTGGAGAAGTGTGTCTCCGTGTCCCCCGCCGCCTTTTGACCGATGAAGCAGGACGAAGTCTGGAAAATTCCCACACGTCTTTCTACGGGGGTTTATAGATCTTTGTTTCTCCGTTTCTGTTTTCGCTGTTTGTTCGGAGAATTAATTACGTTTAGGCATTTTGCTGTTTATGTGTTTGTTGTCTGATAAATCACCACACATGGCTTTATTGGGTTTGCTTATGCTTAATAAGGAAAAGCCAGAGCCTGCAGGCCTTTTAAATTTAAACAGTTTAAAGTTTTAAAGTGGTTTTATGACTTTTCTCTCGTACATAATTGTTCAATAATGGCCTTTTTTATGGAAGAAAGGGCCTTGCGAAAGTAAATCACATGCCAAAAGACTGCACAGGGAAATAACCACTAGAACTACATCAGAGAAGGCAATAACTTTACATTAAATTAGATTTATGCATCAAAATTCTAACAATAAATTTAAAGGAGTTCAAGGTTTACAGGAAACCCGGCGCATGTGACTTTCTCATACCAGAAACTACGTTATCAGAAGAATCAGGATGTTATTGTGCCATACTCAGATATTACATTAGTTATCAAATTAAAGGGTGAATGAATGAATATTTATTTCAAACAAAATTTCATTAATTAGTAGTAAAAAGAAATATGATAATCAGTTCAAAGAGGAGCAGGAAGAAGCATAAACTTCCATTTATCACCTTACCTCATGTCCTTGCACATGGCACAAAATAAATTTGTATAAGCCTGGTTTCTCCTTATTCTATTTCAGTTTTATTCTATTGTACATAATTTAGTGGCCTGAGGTGAAGATGCAGTTCTGTAGGAAAAGAAATGGTTACCCGTGTTTCATAGGAAGTGAAGTGAACTGAACCACGTCTGCTCCCTGCTGCAAACTGTCACCTTTCATGCCTTCACTTGGTGCTTTTCAGGTACGGCCTGGATTGATTCTTTGTGCTTTTGTTGGATGTTAAAAAGGAAGCAAAGGAAAGAACTGCGAGTTCTCTGTGAAACCGTCTACCCGGGATAACCTTTAAAATAATATTTTCCTTTCATGAACGATGACACGAACTGCAACTGAAGATAAACGTTTCAGCTTTGTTTGACAGGCACCTGAATGGTGCATTTCTGTAAAAAGAAAACGTCAAATATCTTTTTTTTTTATCATCTTACAAGTAATTTGTCCAAATGGCTGACGGCTTTCCACCTCTCTCAATTTATCTTCTGTTCCCAGCCGCCTCTTGATTTCTTCATGAGCCACTTTGTTCCTTTTCTGACTGGTTTCATGTTTAAGCAGCAAAGTTTGTGAGTATGAAGGAATCTAGGAATCTAATTAGGCCTCCCCCTATCAAGCGCCACTGTGGCCCAGTGCAGTTTGTGGTGACATGAGGACTCAGGCTTCATGTCACAATTAGTGCACATGCAAAATTAATAGGACGCTTTTCCAATGTTGAGGAATAGTTGTGATGTGGAGAATACGGGCGTCTGGCTTCTTACAAAAACAGACTTCACGCACTTCCAAAGTAAGCACTAGTCAAATCACATAAAAACATCAATAGGTTACAGTTAAGGTTTCTCTGTCCAGGGCATCAAAGCTTGGAGACAAACAGCGGCTCAATAAATAAATAAATAAATAAATAAACATTTTTATGTCCAGTCAATGGAGCTGATTTTCAGCTTAATCATTACTAAATAAAAAAAATGTTTTGCTAAGATTTTTAAAAAAAACATTTAATCTGGAGTGAATTTGACCTGATATGTAGTTCAAAGTTTTGAGCTCAAACTTAACCAAAATGATTAAAACATTATTTAAGATTTATTTAATATAGATTCCAATTGTGAAAACAGAAAAGAGCATTTTCAGGGCTTTCTAGGTATTAGGACCACTTTAAATTGAAGCAGGTTAATGCACAATACATTGCAGGTGATTAAAGATCAACATACTTATATTAGTTATTAAAGATGCTTTCAGTTGCAGCTGGCAAAATAAGGGGCTCAACAAGGGCAAAATTCCTGCTGACAGTTGAAGGAGAAAGGTTAGCAAGGGTACAGAACATAAAATATAATTAAAAAAAAAAAGATTAATTGTACACAGGGAGCACACTGCTTTCTGACATGACAGGCTGGACCTCTGAGCCAGACTGCACTCCCAATTAAGATTACTGTGAATATTTTCTAACAAGCAGCAGGCGGGCTGTCACCATGTCACTGTGTGATAGTGGGAGAGTACACATGCTGAGGATGATGGTGATGCAGAGTAACTATGAACATGTTTTTCCCAACATTTTCTGGAATCTCCTACATCATTTTATTTTTGGGGGGGTGATTGTTGGGTGATTTTGCGGATATGTTTTTATGAAATGCTTTCCGAGACTCTCTCCAGCGTTCCTCCCTCCCTCGCTGCCTGTCTGGCTTGTTTAGCTTCCAGTTGTCATAGAAACCTTTTGGCCTTTTTAGCATAAGTTTTGTCTCGGGTCGCCGAAGATGCTCATCTCCATAGTAACTTGACTTACTAAAAGCTTCAAACCTTCCAACAAGCAGTATGACATTTACTTACAGGCTTATTGCAGCAAGAATGTGCATTTTCTGGGACATTGAGTTTTGACTGGCAGACATAAGACGAGAAGTTAAGAAAGAGCAAATCTCTCCGTTGCACAAATACCAACGGTGGAGCAGCTGCAAATCCATGGATGTCTTCTATGGGCTGTAATTTGATATAAAAATATCTCTGTTGATGGGTTCCCCTCAAGCTCAAAAGTATGTTTCGTAGCACATATGTTTTCCATAAATAAGAATGTGAAAGTTCTCAGCTTGAGTTCTGTTTTAGAGGACAGAGACAAAAATAATCAGGGAAAACAAAAATAAACGAATATCCTGTTTTGTATATTTACGAGCTACAAAGACTGCAGCACAGCTTGCCAATACAGGAAATGTGATTAGTCAAGTGGTTTAAAACTTTAGTGAACCATTTGGGAAGAAGAGTTGCATACATAAAGCAATTTTTGTTTTCTGGGGTGCACTAGATGGAATTTCACAAAAAAAAATACTTCAGATTTATACACTGAAAAATATGCCCAATTTAAAATTTTATGGAGAAAATTGCTGCAACCACAGGTATGTTTGAAGATGTCAAACGTACCTTTGTTTACTAAACACCAACTTTCAAACACGGCAATGAGGACAGGCTTCATAGAGACAGCAGTAGAGACAGTAGAGGTGATGCTAATCTAATTAAGCCTGACTGAGAGAAATCTTGTGATCTACAAAGGGTTCCCAAAAAGTGGAGTGCAGCTGTAGAAAATGGG